TATATTTTTTCTCAATCTTATAGCATCTTACAATTGTCCTCCGACATGATGTGATATTTCTTTCTTTGATCGCGAATATTATTCATAAGATTTATTATTTATATCTTTTTCTTTTTTAATAGTTTAGCCGCAGTCGAAAAGCTGTGAGACATTAAGAGTCGTGCATACGAGATCTTGACTAAGTTAACAGTTTTACATTAGACTCAATTTTATTATAGATCTTTGCATACGGACTCGCTTGTATTATAGTTCTTTACTTAAATAACTGTCCTAATGTTAGTTGTGTGTTAGTTCTTCACAACTCAGAAACAGATTCAAGAATATTAAAGTTCTTTACATAAGGACTCACTAATATTAGTTTTTACCTTATTCGGTGGCTCACTATAATTTCAGTTTTTCTCATACATGCTTACTTTTACAACTAGTACACGAGTGTCTTCATATTTCACATACTACACATACGTATATATTACTCTAGTGTGTTTTTCATATTTGTTTGAACTTTTTGGGTCCTATTAAGACCTAACAATGTCGATACTAGATCATACCAGTGCCCCATAATTAGTGTCGTTTTGCTATGGTTATTTAATGATAATTTAAAAATCAAATTTGAAAATTGCATGTTTGGTTCACGAAGTCATCAACGAAAATCTTTTACGTATTGACCCAAAGTATGGATGAACTTCAAATCTAAACACAAAAAATGCCTACAGTGCGCAAAATGTTTCTCAACCAATTTTGGACGGTGGTACCATAACACATGCAAACCCTCAGATTATCTTCAGTGGTTGAACAAAATGTTTAACTAACGGTCGGGTGATTGTATCTGCAATGCATGCAATATAAAAATGGCGAATTTATTTTCCGGAAAGCCACCATGTAAGAGACAAACAAAAACCCAAACACTTGTCAGATATGTGTAAACATCGGACAACATAACCTTGAAATATAAATGTCCTAGTTTTTTGAAGTTATGGAGGAACATATTATTGAGTCGCCAAGGCTAATCCAATCAAAGTTTTTCTTTGCGACTTGCGTTGTAAACGATCGCGGGACACGAGACATTTCGTGTCAATAACATATAGTATGCAACATTGCTCTGAAGAAAATCGCCCGCCAACGTGATCTTCGTCAAATTCCCGACTTTGACGTTATACTTAATTATTTCTTGCCAATCAAGAGCAGGAATACCTTCCACTATCCAAAGAAAGCTACATCTGTAAAACATGCAACAATACTATATGAAAGCTCGTCAGGAAACAATCCCTCAATTAGGAAGCAACCATTTAACTTCAAAAAAAGGGGGGGGGGGGGTAATAGTTTTCTTGTCTGAGATCGACCATTTTTTTTACTTTCCGACTCTTATCAATCAAATCTTTTTTTAAATTTAACACTATAAGGTATGGGGAATATCATAATAACTTTTTTTTTGTCATTTGCTTGACAAAAATATTTTTTTCCATCGAATTTAGGAATTAATCATACTGTTTCATTTATACAAGAGTAAGTCCTTTATTGTTAACAAGACAAAGGGAACTATTATCATGTTTTGGAAAATATCGACAATTTGCTTGACATTGACAAATAAAACATTTATATATTTTGTAAGTTGAAAAATGAATATGCTGAAGAGCTTTCTTGTGTGTTAACATTTCCGATGGACTGTCATATTTTGAAGAATGTAAAACCTGTTTTATTTAAAATTTATTTTGATGCTGGTCTTAAAAATATAGCAAACATTAAGCACAAAGTTCGTGAACAGGGCTCCAATTTAAAAAAAAAACAGAGTTCAGATGATCAAGTTTTTAGAACAAAGAGAGAGGGGAAAACAATGGCACTGCTATATCATCTCAGCAATTAAATCACAAAACATTAGAGCTTGTGTTAGAAATTAATAAATATGTGAAGCAGAAGAAAAAGAACTGTGCATGCATCTGAAAATACTATCAGTATTACAAATGTATGAAGGAGACTGTTCTGTTATGGATACGTTTGACAAATTCTGCATGAAGAGAAAAAAAGACAGTTCCTATTGTGGGATAATTTTATTCATAGATATTGTTTCTCCTACATATCTTTATATATTGCTTTCCATAGTTCAAATTGGAATCTCAGATTAGCACCACTTAAAAGCATCTTCCCTCTATTCCATGCCTTTGATCGGAATATGTACTTTAGAAATTGAATAATTCCAAGACATCTGACTGTCAGATATAGCAGAACTTCCACACAATATTTTAACGTGCTTTCAAAATGGGGGCTTTTCAGCCAGCGTAACAGGTAGGGCATGTCAGCAGCTTGCACTAGACGAGGCTCACGAGTCTCTTATAAACCGTGATGTTAAGTAATCTGTTCGGAAACCATCTCCATAACTTCTTGATAAAATTACTGTCTATCTTCTTTTTCCAGCATTACTGCAAAAAAAAAAAATTAAACAAGCAATTAAATCGGGGTTCCAACCACATGTTCTCCATACATACGGATCTGAACACAGGACTATACCCCGGGTCTGCCACTGGATTTATACATCAGATGCATCGCGAGATATATACATGTCATGATACAGTATAAATGAATTAAAGATAAATATAAATCGAAAATGTTGAATTATCATTAATGTCTATATGAAACCACAAAATCTTACTTAATTGCCCAAGTTTTCAAATCATATCAAATGATTTCATTGGTCTTTACTTGTTGGAAAAATGTACTGGATTCATTGTTAGCTAAATGATCAATGTTAGGTTATTGCATATTATTTAGAGATGTCTGTTTAAATAATGAATTGAAAAAGGGGGGATGGATTACATACTTAACATTTGGCTATATTTTCAACATATCTAGCGAATATGCGAGAAAAAATAGGTTTAGTATACGAGCTATCTCTCTTATTCTGTACACAATTGCAGGTTTTGTAGGATTATTAAGGTATTCCGGTGTTTTTTAAAGCACCCCCCTTTTTCTAATATACACCACAAAAACATTTAGTTAGGATAAAGAACCAATAACCCGGTAAATAGAATAATTATCATTGAGTTCATTTGTGTGATAAGCGCTTTTTAGCAACTTTATGATTGTGTATTATATAATGTTACAGTGTAACAACCTAATCAAACACACCCGTAAAAATAACATTATCTGCCCTGAAAATGCTTAACAACAAGGCACAAAAAACTGATCCTTTTTTTGCCCTATATCACATAACTATGAAAACACATTAGATAGATAGGGGATACTGTGGTTGTGTACATGTTTGAATGTGTAGGTGGCACACTCAGAACGATCGTCTCTAGATTTTTTTAAAAATTTTCTACCTTCGGTTTCCGGGTCATCGTAGCAACACGTTTCGTTCCCTTCCAACTATTCCTGATTATGAATTATTCTACGACATGCATTTATCCTAAAGCAACAACTATTATACAACCCACCTATACCAATGGGGATCGTCTAGTTCCTAACTGATTCCTTTAATCGTACCTGTCCTGACGACACCCATCATTGTCGCGTCTACCATTGGAGGCAGCGAAATGACATGATTTGACCGGAAAGCGAAATAAACAAGGGAAGCAATTTTATCGAACCGCATCCCGGACTGCAGTATGTAGGCGAGAAAGACAATCCATTCAACAAACGCATGCATGGTCATCCAAGTTAATACACATGCAAGCCTAACCTCCCCGTAAGTCGTCATTTGAGTTCACCTGGGCAAGCCCAAGCTGATCTTCAAAACCTAACCATCACTATCATAGACCACTACGAGGGTTGGTCAAGGGCCGACAGACTTGCTCACGAACGGTTTAGGATAGGAAAGATGAAGACAGTTTCCCCAGAAGGCATACATGAAAAAACATAGATTGAGTCACTCATTTTCCCTACCATCACTCATTTTCCTACCATCAATTGTTTCCTATAATTCAGGCTTTCGTACTGGACTCTTGCAGTTTTAAGGAATTTATTCCTCCTCCCAAACATCAATATGAAAAAATGACAAGCGTATTGAGTATTGGTAATTTGTATAACGATCAAGATTATTATTTCATTATTAACATGTCAAGATAAGATTCATTATGAAGGATATTAGTTATCGGAAATATCTAACATTTGTTCATGATTTTATTATTTTTGGTGAAGTTGTCCCCTTTTAGACTTGTTAAATATTATTTTTTTTTAGTGTACTGTATCATAATTATATGATCCATCGCCCAGTAAGATTTATCGTTGGCTATTATTCAGTCATTTTATATATATAATGAGTACGTCTGAACCAGTGACAACTCTATGACAGATGTTATATATCGGATCATCAGTTATACAAGACTGAAAACACATTCTGTATATATAACTCGTCTAAATATCAGCACAATATCAATTCTTCAAATTTGTGGAAAAAACGCAAGGTATCAAATTGAGGTCTTGTATATTTGATGATATTTTTATTTCATGCAATCTGTGTTTTTCATCATTGCCGGTATGGTTTTATCGTTGTGCTTTTGTCGGATAGGCGTACATGTATATCATAGATACACTTACATATAGATATAGTGTACGTATGTACACACTTTATTTGAAATTATGTGTCTACTTTTTCTGTGGGAATTTTCAACGTGGAGTGCCATTAAAATGAAAAATAAGGAAGCCAGCAAACAAAACAGCATATGGTTATAGTAAGCATCGCTTACAATGGTTTGACGTTAGCTATTTGTTGAGGACAAGCATTCCAAAATATTTTTAGAGCACTATATCAAAGGAGTTTAGCACACAAATCTAAAAAAAAAACATGGGGTCTTGTAATGTGAACAGTTCCTTCTTTACTAATCGTATCCGTCGTTTTATTTTCATCTGGTACCTACGTTCTATACCACCCATAATAATTATATTGTATAGGTTTATTAATAATTGAATATTATGTTTAACGCAGACAGAATGTCAATATCAAACACATGGTAAGCATTAAATAATGTGATCTTTACTCTCATTACACTATTGATGACTAATGTGTATCTTGCGGTACAGGATTTACTTAATGCTGCTTTGTATGGAGACGAGGAGAAAGGTGTTTAAAAGGAGATGCTAATGTAAACTATCGAAAATGGGTGAGTTATAAGAATAGTAAAACATCATGAACATTAAATACTTTTTTTTAGTTTTTTTATCTATATTTTATTGATTACTTTAAACCTCCTGCTTGTAATATAAAATTGTTAATGGCTACATTATTTCATTCTTATACCTCACTCCTATAAATCATATTCGTGAACAATTCAAATTATGACATAAAAAACAATTGTGCAAACAGATTTTGATATGAATTACCTTTTGGAGTTAAAATCGGTTTTCGTTTGATATTGTTAAAATGATGTATACCTGTCATACTGGCATCACTGATATGTGTTAACTAAAATATCTAGATCATATATTCCGTTTGAATCCTTAATACAGTTATCTCCATATTTGGGAATTGGTATTCAAATTTTATTTGCATTTTTGGTGTATTTGTACTTTTTGTTTTGGAAGGTCTTGATGTTTTTTTTCTCTTTATTTTTCATTGTTAACATCTTCATGATCTTGGTTGTAGTATTTTCAGTTTTTAAGTTTTTAATAAATAAACATGATTTGAATATCTAAAAAAAATGTTGCTTTGTTATGATTAGCAAGTGAAAGTCCACTGGCTGTCCTTATTACAGCCAGTCTGCTGATATCTGTTCCAAAGTCGTGAAATTGTGCTATGGTTCAGTTTTAAGTTCGTCCTACTTATTTTTGGGATACTCCGGCCTGGAGACGACCGATGACGAAATTTCGATTGGCAGAGTCCAACCTTGGGATAACAACGTTTAACGTTGTGATGAATTAAATTTTTACACTTGGTCCTTATATGCGAAAAAGTGTAGCATTTGAGTTGACCACCAAATTCTTGTGAAAAATGTTAGCAAAATTGGGCGCGAGAAAAGTCAGATGCACTGTTATCGAATCGCAAATGTCATGTTACAAAGAGCTAAATCTTAAAGAACGGACATTTAAAGTTTAAAACTTCCTTGGAAAAATTAGAAGATGCAATTGGCTGTTTAATTTTACCTTGTACAATATCATTTTGCTTTTTGAAAAATTCATCTGAGCTATGCATTTCTTTTTTTTACAGTAAAGTACTTACGAATAGACATTAAGGGTGTTTGGCTAAGATTTGAATTAAGTTTCTAAAAAACATATTTTGCGCAGTTAACCTCAATTTACGGGTTACTTCAATAAATTTATTAGCTGTTCTTGTAAAATGTCTTTTGCCAAATATCCCGGCTATGACGACAGTGGCAAATATGACAGTCGAATCGGCAGTGCCAAAAGACGGAGTTATTTTAAAATTTTGAATGATATTTGAAAATAGTTTTCATTTGAGTTAAAGACATACATTCACAACAAGACCCAGAAATATTGTTGATCCTGCGGATTTAAAAAAAGAATGTCTTTCCTCATCAGATGAGAGCATGGATGGAATCGAATAAAAAAAGTACTTAAAGTTTGCTTTGGTTGCTTTACAAGAATCCTTTCAAAGATGTATAACATATTTGCTCGTTGAAATGAGCAAAAAGAAAAGAAAAACAATATGTTAGGTTATGCATGCAACACTGTGTTCTATTAGATAAAATAATCAAAAATAGTGTGACATACCTGGAAATGTATTCTAGCTTCATTGTCCTTAGAAGCGTCTGTGTCCAACATTTATAAAAACGAAAAACACAAATAATCCATCTTCTATGAGCATAAATATCATATTTGTTTTACTCCCAACATACCAATTTAAGACTCAGAGAAATATCCTTCAATTTAATTATCAGAAAGAAGTGAGTATCCAATGATATAAGTAATAAATATTAGTCTCGTAGACTGATTTTCATTCCGCCATGGATTTGGCATTTTTGTTCGATTACTTTATTCCAAGCTTCAGCGAGTGATAAAATACGAGTACAAATGACCAATCCATCTTTAATTGAAAACAAATCTACGGCAGTCATTTACTTTATTTTTATTATAATAGGACAAATACGATGCTGAATAATATCAGCAAACTAAAGATAACACAGAGACAAATGCATAACAAAAACTATCACCCTACGACAACCAATCTCACTGCAAAAAAAAAAAAAAACCCCAAAACACCTGCTTGACAAATGTTTAAAAAAAAACAGGATATAGGAAGATCTTTGCCATAAAACAGTGCAGGAAATATGACTCGGCCAAATATCTATAATAGAGTTGGATGTCAAGCTCTTTAAAAGACAGACTGATGGTAAAATGTATAGAAGTGTATACATTTCAGGTCGGAAATGAATACTGCACGAGTGTTAAAATCAAGAAAGTCAGACTGTCTTGTCTATAGAACTCGTTTAATGGCATAAAATATCTAAAAATCAGAATTTTAATTCAAGAACTGATTTCTGAAGGCAAAAGATTAATCGAAAATATTTTGAAAATAATTAAAATAATTCTAAGGTATTGTATATCGTCGTTGTCATTGTATGTATGATGTATTGTGTAATATAAAGTCAAAAGTACTGAACGATTCCATTTTTTTATATTAACATAGGTATATAATATGTGTATCAATGATCATTTTTAAACTGAAATATGGCAGTGTATGGTATTGGCTACAGGGTTAAAATACACGCTTAGTACAACCATTCGTTGTTTTACTTTTAAAATGAAACAAGTTGTTATCTTAATTTTCCAATTTAATATGTTTTTCTTCTATCCAGATTGGCCAAACTGCACTTCACATTATTGCTAAAAAATTGGACGAAAAAGCCGACATTGCCAAGTTACTAATTGTCAGTGGTACTGATCTTAATTTACAAGACAAGGTTTGTGGATGAAATATATAGTATTCATTTACATTTTACATTATTTCATACCATATCTATAATGCAGCAAAAGCAATCCAGACGATGCCGTCATTGTAGTAAGACAAAAGGTCACTATTGTCCTTTGTGTATCTAACATAATTTTAAAGTCCAGAGTGCAATTGGCAGTTATAACTCATTTGTACAGTGTTAACATGTTTCTGCATCGGAGCTTTTGGTTAAAAAAAATAATTCAGGAAACTACATTAACTTTATAACGATATGCAAAATAACATATTTTATCGGTAATTTGTACTTTTTCCTTCGATGTGTACTCACTTATTATGTCATTTGCAGTGGACTGGTCGTAACAAAAAATATTGGGTCAGTTCGCAATTGACATGCGCGAGTGCACCGCGTAAGTATCTACTTCCGTTTTCATTCACAAAAATATCACGTGATATTTTTTGGCAGAAACGCACAAGTTGTTAGCTGAATAATACTCGTCATTTTTTTGCAAAGTTTTTAGGAATAATTTTGTCAAAATTGTATGAGAAATTGAACAGAATATGAACGACAAAAAAACTAACAAATCTAAAAAATGTGCGTTATCAACAGTATTAGTGAAAGCTTACCTTACTATCCCAATCTGAGTGTATAAGTTTGAATGTAAAATAGTGTTGTACTGTTCTAATGTGTCTTCCTTTTCTGTTTTTTAAGACGTATTTGTTCAACCTCTTTAGGTATTATAATTTATGCACAAAAAAAAAGAAAAGGTGACCAAAAACGTACCGTAATCGCACGAGAGAAGCTAAAAAAAATAAAAATAAAAAAAAAACACGTTCCACAAGGTTTGTGAGACAAAGATCCGGCATGTCCAGGTTGAAGAATATATGATCTTACTTGAACAGAACACGAAGAGTGAATCTAAATAGACCAACATTGAGTAACATCGATTGAAATGTGAGGTCGACAAGAAATAAGCTTTCAAATGTAAATATACAGACGCGCTGCTTACACCTTAACAAAAATAAGTGTCTTCTTATACAGTGCTTTCTAAAATAAATGTGGCCGTCTTAAAGATGAACGACCAGCACATTACGACAAGATAAATGTGATTTTTAAGCCAATCATACATCTGACAATAAGGAAGAAGGTTAAAGTTTTGCTTGAATTCTGCTGATTCAGGTCGTATCATACTTTGCTATGTAGAGAATAAAAAAAAATGACTTACCGGTACGTAACCATTATAATTTGCATTGTTTAATGCATTTTGAAATCATAATTAATGAACGCATGCAACAGTTATTCATTTTCAATTTACTATGGGAAAGAGAACGGCATGTTAACTGCACCGTGGCAAAATTCAAATGACGTAATGAAACCTGTCACGTAAAGAGTGATTCGACGCGTTAAAGTAGTTTGGTTGTTATTTTCTCTTCTTTATTTAGATTTTCATTTTTAGCTCACCTAGCCCTCGTCTATTAACTTTTATAAAAATCTTCTAGTAGAATCTACTGGGCCAAATAAAACCAAATTTGGCCAAAATCATCCTTATGATATCTACTTAAAAATATATATATTCGATGACCCCGCCCATCAGCCAAGATTACCGCCATGGCTAAAAAAAGTACATCGGGGTAAAATGCAGTTTTTGTCTTATATCTCTGAAACTGAAGCATTAAGAGCAATCTGTTGAATAATGTTGAACAGGTCAAAATCTATCTGCTTATAAATTTTCAGACGTATTAGACAACCCTTTGTTGGATTGCTGCCCTTAAATTGGTTATTTTAAGGAAAATTTGCAGTTTTTGGTTATTACCTTGCATATTATAATAGATAGAGATACACTGTAATTAGCAAGAATGTTCAACTTAGTAAGATCTACGAATAAGTCAGCATGACCAAAATTGCCAATTGACCACATAAAGAGTTATATATTGACCTTGAAAGTCAATTTTTCATAATTTTTCAAAGATTTTTGTAATCTTAATAAAAAACTTCTACACTGGAACTACTGGGCCAAATTAACACAAACTTGGGCTTAATCACCTTTATGGTATCTTATTTAAAATATGTATCTGAGGACCTCGGCCATTAACCAAGATGGCCAGGATGGATAAAAATCGAACGTGGGGGTAAATTGCAGTTTTTGGCTTAAATCTCTGAAACAAAAGAATTTACGTAAAGTGCGACGTCCATTTTCACTGAACTAGTATACAATTTTATTTAGGGGCCAGCTGAGGACCACCTCCGGGTGCGGGATTTTCTCGCTGCGTTGAAGACCCATTGGTGGCCTTCGGCTGTTGTCTGCTCTTTGGTCGCGTTGTTGTCTCTTTGACATATTCCCTATTTCCATTCTGAGTTTTATTAGAGCAAATTATCAAAATAAGTAGATTTTTTCGTCAGTTCAAGATCTATCTGCCATAAAATTTTCATACGCATCAAACATCCCCTTGTTTGATTGCTGCCCCTGAATAGGTAGTTGTAAGAAAATTTTGCAGCTTTCGGTTATTATCTTGAATATTATAATAGATAGAGATTAATTGTAAACAGCAAAATTGTTAAGCAAAGTAAGATCTACAAATAAGTCAATTATGACCCCTTAAGGAGATATTGCTCTCTTTTGTACATTTGTTTCACTTTTTTGTTAATTTTTCATATATTTTACAAAATATTCTCCTCTGAAACTACTGTGAAACATTTTACCAAACTTGGCCACAATCTTCATTTGGGTATCTAGTTTAAAAAAATGTGTTCGATGACACTGCATCCCAATCAATATGGTCGACATGGCTATAAATAGAACATAGAGGTAAAATGCAAGTTTTGTCTATGATTTTTTTAACCTTCATTTTTGCCTATTATCATGAAAACCATGATATTCAGAGAGAAACATTTTTTCCGTTATGCCTTATATGATTTAAATTATAAAAGATTAATAAACAATTTAAATAACAAAAATGACCAGCAAGGCAAGTAAAATTTTGCCGATATAGTTAGAAGACTGTCACTCTTCATAGGAGTGATTGCCCTTCAATGAGGATTTGTTTTACCCTCTTTTGTGTTTTGAGCAAAAACTAAGGAAGATAGAGAAAAACCAAACAGACTAAAAGATCAGCAAGACAAATCAACAAAATAGAGGTTTTTGTCATGAAATCCATACTCATTTACAATGTTGGAGAGTGTCCTTTATTTGATATGCACATAGACCAAGATGAGTGACACAGGCTCTTCAGAGCCTCTAGTACATTATTACCGATAAAAGAATAAAGGACTTTTTGTACACAACGCATTGCCTCGTGTTCATTTATAAAGTAATATGTAGTGCGAAGTTTAAAGACCTACTATTTTTTTTAATATAACAATAATACTTACAACATCAATTTGGAAAACATACGATTAAGAATCTAATAATATTTCTGAAGAAGATAAATCATCTTAGTAGATAGAATGATATAGCATATCAAACAAGGTAAAATAAATGTAAAGCAAAGCATGTTTATTTATATTTCTTTTATGTTTTCTCGTTAAACAAATTCAACGTTTATCCCGATAGAAATCATATAAAAATAGCTTATTAAAAACATGTACTTAAATGAGAAGTTTGTTCAAAATATGAATGCATTTACATTGATCATATTCAACACCACCTGCTATATTCCAACATTAACGTAAACATTATTAAATAATGTTATATCTCGTTTATATCAACCTTTGACGGGTGCAGCTTATGGTTACGATATACTCACAAAGTCCCTTTTGGATCAGCAATAAAGAGGCGATCTTCTTAATCTCTAAAACGACAATCAAATTAATCAAGCAGAAACACTATTGCTCCAAAACTTTATAACCTGGCAACACATACCCATTTCTAATCTCAATTTTATTTGCATGTAAAAGGCAGATTTGTGTAACATCACCTTTATTATTTTTCACCAGAAATACTTGACATTGTCTTTGGTTCTATAATATGCATGATGCATATGCACAATAGTTCAAATGTATCGATAATTATACACGTACACAACTCTAGAATATTAGAGAACATGACACGTGTTCTTTCACAAGATCTTGATTCATTGATCATTGTACAAAATGTTGTACAGCAATATGCTAGTTAATCACCAATGTTGCAGAGCTCAAATCATGACCACACCACATTAATAGAATAGATCCTTGAAAGTACTATCACAAACACTCCCGCATACACTTTGAAAACGTCACAGCATAAAACGATTATTTTAAGACAGTGACATGTAAAAAGGGCAAAATTCACACCAAACTGCTTAAAGATAGCTTCAAGAATTAGTTACCAGTATATAGAGTACAATTACATATTGAAAACGATATTTTAAGTCAGGAAAATGGCAGTTAATATCTAATAGTTCGTTTCGGTGTGTGTTACATTGTCGTATTTTTTTGTTGCACTTTAGTGTTTCTGTTTTACTCTTATAGTTATGTGTTTCCCTCGGTGTTAGTTTGTAACCCGGATTTCTTTTCTCTCTATCGATTTGTGACTTTCAAACAGCGATATACTACTGTTGCTCTTATTTATGAAACATTGGCCATATCACATATCTGTTAGAGAAGTTGACAGGAAATGTTAATGCATCTAATCAAATGAATAACAATCCTGATAAAAAGACAGATGTTTGAATGTCAATTCGTTCATTACAGATGTGGTTATACCAAAATAAATACGACATAAATGTAGAATCTTGACAGAATCCCCCCAAACCCCAAAGAAAATATTATAACAAATAAGTAAAACAACAAAAATAACTAAAATGCTGAACTACAAAGATAATTCAAAACAGAAAGTCCCTTTTCGTATTTTAAAATCAAAAGCGCAAACACATCAAACGTATAGAAAACACCTGCCATATTCCTGACTTGTTAAATACGTTTACTCATGTAAAACATGTTGGGTTGAACCCGGTTTATAGCGAGCTAAACCTCTCACTTGTAAGACAAGTCAAATAAAATTCCTTGATATTGTCAACAATGTGTGAACAAAATACACTGACATAAAAGAGGGACGAAAGATACCAGAGGGACAGTCAAACTCATAGATCGAAAACAAACTGACAACGCCATGGCATAATAGTTGAAATGTCATAATCAGTGTACAGCAGTCAACATAATATTTTACCCTTAATCACTATTAAAACAAACAAATATGTCAAAAAAGATTAGAAAATGCCATATAGACAAAGCCCATTGGCATAAAAATGAAAGACAATAAAACAAAAATAACACAAAGACGCTAGCTGCTTCATCACGTATAGGCCTATTCGAAGTCACAAGCTTTAACTCAGTGGTTGTCGTTTGTTACTTCGTATTATAATTGTTTATCGTTAATTTTTTCTTACTTAAATTAGATCGTTAGGTTTCTTTTTTGAAGCGCTCTACATTTGTCATTTCGTGGCTTTTAATTGACGTATTTAAGGTATTGGGTTTGCTCATTGTTGAAGGCCGTTTGGTGACCTACAATTTCTATTTCCTGTGTCTAATTGTGTCTAGTAGAGAGCTGTGACATTGGTAATAATTCCACATCTTCTTATTTCTATATATAGCACAAACATACTATGGCGGGATGTAAAGGTACCGAGTCACGCCAAAAAGATACTACCAAAATGACTAAACAATAATTCACAAAGACAAGTAAAAGAAAACTGTAACAAGTAATTAAGATGCTAAACAGCGTCATATCCTAGGATATATGCTTCCAGACCGTGCCATTTGTGAAGTACAAACCCGTTGAAATATAATGGATATGAACAGCAATTTAGACAAAAATTATTTTTGCCAAAGACAACGTAAACATTAACGTAACGATGGTTATTAACCTCACGTGAACAGCTTCCTTATTTTTCTTTCTATATGCAACACAATTATTTAATGATTAAACCATTATTTTCTACCAAGGGTGGTTCAACCGCACTTCACGTAGCCACAATGAGAGGGCATGCAGGTTTTGTCCGTTTGCTAATTGACAATAATGTTGATGTCAATATACAGACCAAGGTAAGAGGAAGATTATCTAAAATAAATATCATAGAAAAAACTGAATAAAAATTTTAAACTGATTATACGCAATCACTTACTTGAGACACATTCTTTGGAAACTTCACAGCAAAACAAATACACAGTTAAAGTAAAAAAAAAAGACATCAAATTTATTAAGTATAGCTTCTATAATCAATTATATAGTACAATTACATATAGAAAACCATATTTTTTGAAACATTGGCTAGATCAAATATTTTTCAAGAGAATTTGAAAAGAAATATTGTGGCAACTTTGTAGGATTAAATAGTGTCCCCCATGAAATTATGTCCCATGGACAAAATTTCACGGATATGACCTGTGAAATTTTGTCCAGGACAGAATTTTATAATAAAATATTTCCACTTCTGTGTAAAAGTGTCCCTTGAAAAGATATTCTATTTTGACTTTTGTTGGATATTTTTTCATAGTGAAATCATGTCCAAATTGCATATAAGTCTTGTCTTATACCAAACAATTTAATTTACAATAAATAATAAGACTAAATCGAAATTTGTTTTTAAATATACAGTAGGAATCAATGAATTGTTTTAACATCTTTGGATTGTTTCTTTGTCAACATGTATATAAAACATTTCATTATTTTTAATTTTAAATTGCTTGGCCTTCCTTCTAAATGATCTTCTTTCATTATTATTAAACTCTGGAGGGTATTGACCATCAAACAAAAAGTCATATAGCTGTTTATATTCACCACTTTCCATATTTGTTCACATCTGTGTTGTCTTGATTTAAATTTCAATTATGATTTAACTAATTGATTAAAACATTTCAATGATTGCTAAATTATGTCCCTTCTTTAGGGACAGAAAAAAAAACAGCTACACTATGACAAATTGTCCCTTGTGACATATTGTTATAAAACATCTATGAAATTATGTCCAAGTACTAGGGACAATTTTTCACTAAGGAAGACACTATTTCATAGTTTACAAATGTGATATTCTGTCCCATGAACGAAATTTCACAGATGAAGGTGAAATATAGTTCAAGAAGACACAATTTCATGGGACACTTTTTTGGCTTACAACTTAACCGATGAATAACAATCCCGCGAACAAAAAGATATTTGAATGTCCATTAGTCCATTTAGGATGTGGTTCTTCCAAAATGAATACGGCATAATGTAAAACCTTGACAGAATTCGCCTCAATAAAAAATAATATCATCAAAAGTAAAACAGCAGAAATCACTACTGGACGAAAAAACAACTGTCCATACCAGTAACAGTCGTTCTAAGACTGATAATGTTTGTTAAAGTTGTAACAGTTATTAAATTTCACTGCTGCAGTTATTTTGTAACTGTCCCAACTTTAAAAGTGTTTGTCTATAACATAAATCGACTGCAACAACGCTAGAAATAACTGTCACAGTCATTAAAGGACTGATACAACTATTTCAAAGTTGTAACAGTTGATTTACAACTGTCCCAACTCGAAAAACGTTGTAACAGTCATAAATAAACTGATTAAACGCCTAAAAGGTTGTCACAGTCATAATAAGACTGCTGCAACCATTTGAAAGTTGTAACAGTTATTTAATACGAAAAACGTTGAAACAGTCATAAATAAACTGTTTAAACGCTGAAAAGTTTGTAACAGTAAAAAAAAAATGATTGCTACAACCATTACATAGTCATAGCTAATTTATAAGTGTAGCAACTTCCAAACATTGATCGTCATTAAGACTTAAAACCCACAGATACAAAATTTCTGACAGTCAGGGATAGGTTAAATTATTTGTAAAACAATTTTACCGTGTGCAATCCACCGTGTGCAATACAAGGTTGTGACAAAGAGACACAACTATCACACCCATTTAATACATTAAATTTAGATACAAATTGATTTAAAAAAATAATAATTTGAAATATTTGCCGCTGAACATTTTGGTATTCCCCGCTTATTTAGTGAATGTGCTAAATTTATATAATTATTTAATACTCCCTCGCCTCTCATTTCATCGAACAAAATCGGAACCAGCACTAGATACCTGCAATTTCACACAGGACGGTTTTATTCGCATTTAAAACTGGTTACAGATAAATCGAAAAAGGTTACCCAATATATTTGTAACCAAATGTATCTTTAACTGTATTACCAGTTGACCATTTTCAATATTATCTAAATAAAAACTTTTTCATTTTTTAAAATTAGTTAGGTGTGAAATCATTCATGCATACAAGGTTGTCTTCAATACCCGTAGTTTTACGAATCGCATTACTTCATAATAACGGTCAATATACATGGTATACTGTAAACCTAGCGGGGAACTCCGAATATACACACTTGTCAAACTTATCCCCATATTAAACTTCTTAATTTTTTCCCCCGAGGGCTTATTTCACACACTTATTTTGAGCTTTTATTTGGGGCTACATTTTTTTTTCTTGCAAAATTATAAATATTGCCGTATTAACCATTTTGATTTCTATACATATGAAAAAAAACCAAAGCTATGATGAACATTTAACGCATGATCTTTTGCAGCTATGGAAAAACAAAAATACTCTTAAATCTATCTAAATTTAATTTATTTTACTGTATTTTATTTTTGAATAGTTCAATATTGACTCGACTTTGTACTGTATATTGTAACGTGTGGTCTTTTTGAAGTTCAAATGTCCTTGATAAATAGCACTTCGGCATTCATTCATGATTGAGTGAGGTAAAAATATTATCACTCGAGATCATTCATATATTCACCGGATTTTTCTCAAACAATTTACCAAAAGTATTTATAAATAGATGGACGTACTGTACAATACCGACAAAATAACTAGCGCCAGTGAAAGTTGAAATGTTCAAAAACAAGAAAACTCGCATTGTTTCAGACAAGGAAATCAAATCTTCTTTTATTTATTCACATAACGATTCAGAACTTGTTGTATTCTTAAGACTCCTGTCTTGTTAAATTATACAGACTGACATCAGATTCTCTTTTGTGGTTTCAGTTGATCAGATGTCGTACTATAAACCATGCTAACGTTTATCCAAAATATTTTCCAATTTCCATAATTTTTTAAATTCAATTTATTAAATCATATAAATGCTTGTCCAATATTGATATATATTATTCAACCAGTAAAGAAAACTTAACACTTTTACTAGATGTAAGGGAAATTTTTTTTAAATGGTCACATTTATAAATTAGGCAAATGGGTCCATTATTCTAATTATATTCATCTTCAATCAGTGACGAAAACAGTACGTTTGTATTACCAGCAGAACTTATTTGGGCGCCCCTTAGAAAAAAAAATCATTGATTAATTAAATCATATTTTTTTTTTTTGACTCACTTTAATAGAAGGATGGACTCAAAATAACTTAAGTATTCTGGCCCTGGTCTGAGTGAAAATATATAATCTGGCTGCCTATATGTTGGAAATTAATATTCTGACCTTATTTGCCAATTCAGTTACTAACTTCTATGTCATTGGGTTTTCGGTGAAAAATTGTCTAATTTGTAAACAAGTACCACATCATTTTATTTATTAATTAAAAGATCTTACATGTATTAAAAAAATTGCAGTTCTATTTAACATTGTTGTGTCGATATTTTGAGCAATTATGATTTCAGCCGTGTATCACCATCAATGATCACTTGTTCTCCAATGGATGAATCTGTCATAAAGTTTTCAGTGTTTAGACCTATAGATATATGTTGACCTCTAGATTGTTATTTAGTTGTTGTTGGTTTGATGTCATATAGTAGCAGTTTACTCAATTTCACCAGTTTATTATCATATGCTTTAGTCTATTTGTCATGTTTGTATTACATACTAGGCTTTTCACACCATGCTATATATACATTTGTATATGTATAATGTACAAACATAGTCGATACATTAATTCTAATTGTACAGCCAAAAAAAAAATGTTCAATTCTCATCCGTTTTTTGAAACCACTTTATGTATATTTTTTTTTTTCATTTCAGGTTGGTTTTTTTCTTTTGTTAGAAGCTTTTAAAATCATAGCAAATTAAAAACCCCAAAATATGCTTCCACACATAAATATTATAATTAAATTATAACAAACATGACAAACAGCTCACTAATCATGCTAATAGTGCATAATACATGTATGCCTTTGTAATGCTTATTGTGTATATTAAAAATGATTCTAAACATCTTGGGATATATATTTAGAAGGCATTTATTCAAAAGCAGATAGAATGGATTTGTAGAAAAACATGAATAAGGGCAGAAGCCTGTTAATATTGGATCACCTATAAGTCTTCGGTAAACCATAATACATTTGTCATCACTCATGTTTCAATGGGTCTGTAAACATGATAAAATTGGGAGACATCAGAAATGATCATCCAGGAACAATTTTTTCAAATTCTAAACATGCTTAACTGTAATTTTGAGGCCCTATATACATTTGTAGCTTGCTGTTCGGTGTGAGACAAGGCTCTGTGTTGAAGACTGTACTTTGACCTATAATGGTTTACTTTTTCAAAATTTTTGACTTGGATGGAAAGTTGTCTCATTGGCAATCATACCACATCTTCTTACATCTATTAACTGACCCAATTTTATTGCCAACTGATTGTTTGTTGCTTTTGTATATACATTTGTAAATCAAACTTGGGTTTCTCATCTAAACTTGTTTACATTGTCATGATTGTGTTACATCATCCAATATGGCTAGGCCTGTTATAGGTTTTTCATTATCATGATTATGTGGTACTGATTTTGCTCATTGTTGAAGGATGTGCAGTTACTAACAATTACATCACTTGGTCTACAGTTGATGGTTGTCTCATTGAAAATCATACCACATCTCCTTATTCTGGTTATTGTACATTCATGACCATGATGACATTATACATGTTATACAAGACTACAATATTATCAAATGAATTATAACAATTGTTAATAGTTGTCCGACTTTTGTTAACAAAAAGCAGCTATAATCAACATGGTAGACATAATCAATGGTGATGTAAACAA